CTTCCAGATGAATTTCATGAATAATAGATAGTAAAAACAATGCTGATGCGAATAAACAATTTGCTTAGCTGCCACCTCAGTATGGTCGACGTTGACGTTCCAGAACAGCCCGGCGCTGCGGTCGTTGACGGCTTGATTCAATAACTGACGTCACTAAACGATTCAGAGCTGACTTTGTAGAAGACAAGGCAGAATGGTTGTTGACAATTAGGTGCCATAGCTGACGTTGCAGATACGGCCGTTGAGTGCTAGATTCAATAGTTGACTGTAGAAATATAGGCGCTATGGTTGTTGACAACTTGATTCAATAGTTGACTGTAGAAATATAGGCGCTATGGTTGTTGACAACTTGATTCAATAGCTGACTGTAGAAATATAGGCGCTATGGTTGTTGACAACTATATTCAATAGCTGACTGTAGAAATATAGGCGCTATTGTTGTTGACAACTAGATTCAATAGCTGACTGTAGAAATATAGGCGCTATGGTTGTTGACTACTAGATTCAATAGTTGACTGTAGAAATATAGGCGCTATGGTTGTTGACAACTTGATTCAATAGCTGACTGTAGAAATATAAGCGCTATGGTTGTTGACAACTAGATTCAATAGCTGACTGTGGAAATATAGGCGCTATGGTTGTTGACAACTTGATTCAATAGCTGACTGTAGAAATATAGGCGCTATGGTTGTTGACAACTTGATTCAATAGCTGACTGTAGAAATATAGGCGCTATGGTTGTTGACAACTATATTTAATAGCTGACTGTAGAAATATAGGCGCTATGGTTGTTGACAACTTGATTCAATAGCTGACTGTAGAAATATAGGCGCTATGGTTGTTGACAACTTGATTCAATAGTTGACTGTAGAAATATAGGCGCTATGGTTGTTGACTACTAGATTCAATAGCTGACTGTAGAAACATAGGCGCTATGGTTGTTGACAACTATATTTAATAGCTGACTGTAGAAATATAGGCGCTATGGTTGTTGACAACTTGATTCAATAGCTGACTGTAGAAATATAGGCGCTATGGTTGTTGACAACTTGATTCAGTAGCTGACTGTGTTGATAGATGTCCACTGCTTCATAATACGACTGCTAGTTCAGTGAGTGACGCTATAGAAAGGGCCCTTCATCTACCAACTATAACTTCCTGATTCAGTAGGTGACGTAAAGACCACGATACTGCAGTCGGTCACGCCCAGATTCAACAAGTGGCGAAGCGTTCACTTCCAGATTCGATAGGTGGCGTAGCGTTCACTTCCAGATTCAATAGGTCACGTAACGTTCAATAGGTGGCGTAGCGTTCACTTCCAGATTCATTAGGTGGCGTAGCGTTCACTTCCAGATTCAATAGGTGGCGTAGCGTTCACTTCCAGATTCAATGGGTGGCGTAGCGTTCACTTCCAGATTCAATAGGTAGCGTAGCGTTCACTTCCAGATTCAATAGGTGACGTAGCTTTCACTTCCAGATTCAATAGGTGACGTAGCGTTCACTTCCAGATTCAAAAGGCGACGTAGCGTTAGGCGACGTAGCGTTCACTTCCAGATTCAATAGGTGACGTAGCTTTCACTTTCAGATTCAATAGGTGACGTAGCGTTCACTTCCTGATTCAATAGGTGACGTAGCTGTCACTCCTTGATTCAATAGGTGACGTAGTTTTCATTTCCAGATTCAATAGGTGACGTAGCGTTCATTTCCAGATTCAATAGGTGACCTTATATTGTATATATGTAAAACATCTCAGGAATAGTATCGGGATATTCAGGTGTCTCATGTGACCTGACCGATAAAACCTTTTACCAGAAAAGCAAAGCTATCACATCTTCTAACCCGCAAACTTTTAACATACAGATATGTCCCGCTGTAAATCTGATAAATTGATAATGAATTCACGCAGGCATTTCCGGCTCAATTCAATTGTGTGGCAAGTCAAACACTTGCACTAAAACGTTTCAGACAGTTTTGTGGCTCTGTGATTAGTTTGGGGACAAGAAATCGCCTTTCATTTTGTGTTTTTTCAATACTAACAAATTTCAATGGATTCTTGAATAGCCAAGTTTAGCTTTAAAATACTGTAACTTTAAAGGTCACTTCATCGATTTTTGTTTCAAGTCAGTAATTACAGGAGCCAAACTTCAACCTCAATGATACACTCTGTTTGGTGGAAACAAGATCAAAACGCCACCCAAATTGTTGCATCAAACCAGTTGTGGAAGAAATCCAATGTCTGAAGCCAGCAATGCCGTTTAGGTGCACAGAGAGCAGGGCGGTTGTGACCCACATGGGAATAGTAGCCAGCTCTTCCTAACAATTTCACATGTTACATAATATATGTCGTTAGTGCGAAGATGCCATTTATCAATTACATGTATTAGAAAGCCGTTTCTCTTTGATGTCTTGTAATAGCTGTCTCTTGGGCTGGTCCTTTAAATCTGTGTTGCATTTGTTGTTGGTGCAGGCAGAAATGATTTGAAATTGCTTGCGTTGCAATAACGGGGTACTTTTTCTGGGGGTAAAATAAAAGCCGAAAAGAGTCCCATTTCCATGACCAGAGAAGCAGAGTCCACGATACGAGGTCGACTGTATGATAATCTTCTCCCAATGAATCACTATCAACGGGTGATGGTAGAAGCTATTCGTGAACACGTGACCATATTATGCAAGCTTTGGCATGCGTCCCAAACACATGCAAGGAAAGCCAATTGTTCAGATGCAACAAGATGGGTACATAATGTACAAGTGAGTTGTTTCGGACATCATTTTGGTCCCTGAATTTGAAAATTCTCTTCATGTCTGCTATTAAACGTTTCCAAAACTTTTCCCGGGCCTTGGGTTAGGGTTAGGTTAGGTAAACCCAATCTTAGTCTAATCTCTAAAATGAACATATTTTACAGATAAAAAACAACAAACTTTTTTCTAAATTATTTTCGTAAAATATATTTAAAAGGTTTCCAGAGACTTTCTTCATTTTCTGAAACTGTGATAATCTAGATTTGATACAAATTCTGGGCTTGCATGGGCTGCATTGGGTATATTTCTTTCAGGGTCTGTATGACAGGCCATCCTGATGTAACTTATGTTTTGTCAACGAAACCCAAATGCTATGGATAGTCAACTTCTTTATTGCAATGGCAAGCACTTGCTTTATAACGGTGTTAGTACTTACACCGAAACGTCGCACTCATTGCAATAAAGAAGTTGACTATCCATCAAACTTGGTTTTCCTTCACCTGTACAACTTCTAAAAATGCCTCTCAAAGAAGTTATTTTTTGTCACCCTGCACAGATCCAAATAGGAGTAGGACCACCGTGTTTTCAGTTATTTCCAGTCCAGATCGGAACACCAATGAAGGAGAACTGGATACTTAATCATTTTTAAAAATAAAGGATCATCCACATGTACATGAATGTTGAGTGGGACGTGTTGGCTGCGTGCCCTTGTTATGGTGTTGCTATTCCGAGAAGTAATTCTGATTCATACACATGAAAAACAGATCAGCGAGAAGGGAAGCATAATTGGTGCCCATGGGGATGCCTACATCTTGTCTTTAGAAACGCTGACTGTTTCTTTGCCAATACGGATCGATTGGACAGAATTTAGTTTGCCATTCGTTATTCCTATATCCAAAATAACATCGAAAAATCTCAGCCCTCGAACATTCTGGATTATCGCCACGTTCCTTCAAATGGACTTCGAAGCTGAATTATATAATATAGGAAATCAAAATAGCAAACCGATCTATAAAACGTACATAGAGGTATTAACAGTATTCACTATCTCTAATACGGGCGGTGGGGATAACCTAGTGGTTAAAGCGTTCGCTCGTCACGCCGAAGGCCCGGGTTCTATTCCCCACATGGGTACAATGTGTGAAGCCCCTTTTCCGGTGTCCCCCGCCGTGATTTTGCTGGAATATTGCTAAAAGCGGCGTAAAACCATACTTACTTACTCACTCACTATCTCTAATACTGGCAAGTAATTTAGAGATTGGTGGTAGCTTTGTTAGTCATGCCCAGAAAGAATAGTGTGAAAACCCCATAATCATTGGTGACACGAATTGCGAATCTGTATTTGATTACGTTACCTTGATCCGCTGATCGTGGGTTCGAATCCCTGACTTGGTTTTTCATCCATGCTCGTGTGCTTCACCGAAGCCGTAAACGTCTAGGAGATGCATCCCTTCAGACACTTCTCCCACATTAAGCCGACCTATCGTGGTATGTTTTCAACACTGTCCAAAAACTAAGTCAGTCAGTCAGTCACTCACTCACTCAGGCACGCAGTCAGTCACCCAGTCAGTCAGTCACTCACTCAGTTACTCACTCACTCAGTTACTCAGTCAGTCAACCACTCACTCTCCTAGCTACTCAGTTACTCACTCACTCACTCACTCAGTTACTCACTCACCCAATCAGTTACTCAGCCACTCACTCACTCACTCGGTTACTCACTCACCCAATCAGTTACTGAGTTAGTCACTCACTCACTAACTCATTCACACAAACATACCACTCTCACAAATATTCACTCACTCACTCCCCACCTACCAATCAGCCATCCACCAAGTTCCTATCGGCCTAGTCCCTACACTACGTAAAATACACATGACATAACCCTGAAAATATACAAGACAAAATATACACAATATATCTTGTAACGAAATGCAGTTTCACATCAGGATATCAGTATGAAGTTAATTAAACCAAAGCAGTTTCTTAAAATCATTTCGCGCTTGAAATGAAATAATTTGTAAATTCAATTGGACGGCACACAGAGCGCGAGCTGCAGTTTGTGGGCCTTGATCTGCTGCCTGCATTCAATATGTATGACTTCCTACTGATCAGGAAGCCTCGTCGAGCTAGCGGGGGAAATCAATATTCGTCTCAAGTTGCCCTGATCACACAGCCAAGCTACACATGTCTACATCGTTCCGACCCTGTGATAAGATAGGAACCTTGCTCAACCATATCTTCTTCTTCTTCCTCTGCAGGGGGCTCACTTCCTAGTCTCGTAGGCGAGATCACGCGAGATAACGTCGACGAGATTCTCTGATCAAGATCCCAGAGGGCAATTGTCGTGGTAAGTTCATTATTCAGTGTATTAATGTCTTCCAGCTAATAGATTTATAATATGGGTATAGTGCGGCGATGGTTGGGCAATGTTTGCTCGGAGGATTGTGGAATGTTCTTCGATATTTTTTCTGCGGGTAATTGATTTAGATAGATACATCGCAGGGACGTATGTAATAATTAGAGAGGAGGCTTTAGCTGATGGCCTCCATTGGTCAGGGTAGTGTGCGAGTAGGAGGGTAAGAACCTTTCGCTGACGTCGGCAGTGGTATCTAAATAAATTATTACTGGCCCAAGAAAGAGTGAGTGAGTATGGTTGTACGCCGCATTTAGCAATGTTCTAGCAATATCACGGCAGGGACACTAGAAATGGGCTTCACACACATTGTACCCATGTAGGGAATCGAACCGGGTCTTCAGCGTGACGAGCGATTTCTCTAACCACAAGGCTACCCCACCGCCCCCACCCGAACCTGACAAACCAGTGGTGGAATGTATGAGTGACGATTTACGGTGTACAACGGACGCCTATTGTATACGTTTAATCCCACCTAGCGTTCCCCTAACCAGCGCTTACGATCAGCATAAGAAACTTTTCCATCACACATCACACATTTTTTTAATTTATTTATTTGCTGTTAATCGTTTTACATTACATCTACATGACGGGCTTTCTAAGTAATCGAATCTGGACCAGACAATCCAGTAAAAGATCGAACTTTGGTTATCCCAAGGCGTCTTCTTTCCTTCATTACATTTAAAGCAAGTTTGCAAGCATCTGCAACATTATAAATTTAATTTAAGTTTTGTTGAACGACGCACATGGCGAGTAACACCGGGTGTCTAGTGGGTCTGGGGTGGGGAGCGTGAGTAGGCAGTGGATTTTGTCTAAAAGCGTTGTTCCCAAAATGTTTGAGAAACATACTCATGCTACTGACTTTTGTGAAAAATTGTAGGCCCAAAATACAATATATTAAAATATATATATGCACAGTTTGATGTATTTTTATTAAGAAATATAAAAAATAATTGCAGCTGTGACTTAAAATACACATCCATTGGAATCTCTGTCCCCCGACCCCCACAGATATCGGAATAGTCAATAGTAGCTTCCTAATAGATACATGATGATAGCGTTATTGACGTAAAAAAACGTCCTTGGTGCTGTTGTTGCTGTTATAGACTAACAACTAGTCTCTGAAATGAACATATTTTACTGAAAAAAGTTCATAGTAATAAAAAGATATATAATGAAAAGGAGCCCTGAGACTTTCTTCATTTTCAGAAGAAGCTGAGGAAATCTAGACTTGCCACATTTTCTAGACTTGTGTGGGCTTTCTTGGATATATTTGCTTCAGGGTCTGTACGAGAGACTATTGCTGTTACTGCTGGTGCTGTTGATGTTATCGATGTTAGTGTCGGTATTGTGGATGATGCTGTCACTGATGCTACCGATGTCGTTGAAAAGGAAATGACCCCAGAAACACAGTAATCTTCAGGACATAAAACACCTTTCCACATCCGCCTAAATAATTGGACACATACATCAGATCAAAGGACTACTTTTGTGGACCATGATTACAGGGAAGTGTAGTTATTCATTAAGCAGCGTCACCTTACAACATGCCCAGCTAGCTCGACACTTGTGGGACGGAAAGGTGTAATTACATTAGGCACTGTAAACACCTAGAATAGACTCGGCTAACAACGGAATCAATACCGCTGTCTGACGTTGTGTTAAAAACATTGAGTGCGTGAAAGCTCTGTACATCAATTCATATAGATGGGGCTAGTCGACTCAATGGTGTTAGTGTGTCACGGGGTTGGAGATTTCATTAATCTTGCATCCAGTCGGTAATGGAATATTAACAGCCTAACGGGACTGTGATCTAGGATGTAGATAATAGGTAACGCGTAGTTAATACGTACGTATGTACCCACAAACACGCGCTTTCACATTTTGTGAGCTGGTACTATGATGATGCGCAATAGATCCAGGGCCTGGATCAGACAGACAAACTGGTTTATTAAAGTCTCGCTCGTAGTACGTATAAAAACATATATAACTTCATATACATATATGGGGCGGTTGGGTAGCCTACTGGTTAAAGCGTTGGCTCGTCACGCCGAAGACCCGGGTTCGAATCCCCACATGGGTACAATGTGTGAAACCCATTTCTGGTGTCCCCCGCCGTGATGTTGCTGGAATATTGCTAAAAGCGGCGTAAAACCAAACTCAGTCAGTCAGTCATATACATGTACAATATAAATATAATATGCTACTACTAGTCGCTCAGCGACTTATGAGAGACATGTTAAGCATTATTAAAATTAGATATTCATAAATATATATATTTACAAAATACAGCTATATAAAATGATCAGTGTTTGGTTGGTTGTGTTTACTCGAACTCAGATAGCAGAGATCGATGTCCGCAATACCAATCACCAGATTGTCTGGTAGATCTTGACTGGATACAAACCAACGTCGTATTGCAAGAATATTGTGTCCAGAATATCGCAGGTGTTTGTATGTCCCTGTATCTGTGTTAGTGATTGTGGTAAGAGGCGACTAACGGGATCGGACGGTCAGGCTCGCTGACTTGGTTGACACATGTCATCGTATCCCAATTGCGTAGATCGATGCTCATGACGGTGGTCGCTGGATTGTCTGGTCCAGACTCGATCATTTACAGACCGCCGCCATATAGCTGGAATATTGCTGAGTGCGGCGTAAAACAACAAACCAACCAGACCAATGTGTCAACTATAACAAGCTACAGTTGCTATAGTAACTGGACACTCTAACTATTCCTATGATATTTCGATATTGGCTGAACATTTCTTTGCAAGTTTTCAGATAAACCTTTTTTTAATTTTTCCTCCAATTTGAGATTATTTAATGAGAAAATTTACTTGTCCATGATGCCAGTGTATGTGTTACCATTTGAACAAGCGACCCCCTTGTTGGTGTGCTCACTGTCCAGAAAACATTGTCATTGCATCAAATGAATAACTGCAAACAATTCCCAATCCAGTGAAGCTAAGATCAACAAATTGACGTTGAGCCCTGTGCTATTGGCAGCCCCGCACTCGTGTGTTGTGTTTCTGTCAGCGTTTTCTCCGTCAACATTTGTTTGTTGACAGACAAAACACATTAAAAGTTTAAAGTCGGGAGTTGTGTTGACCCCGCCAAGCGCGATTCCCACACTGGCTTCTTGTATTCCTAGTTATGATCAGCTCGAGTTGATATGCTAAAGGAAATGACATTTGTCTCCAGTTCATTCAATCACTGATTTAAGATTTGTTGGCAAAATGGATAAAGAGGATAGGGCTTAGTGTATCACCCTGGCGCAGCACACGTTAGGTTTTTAACAAATATGAGTGAGTGAGTGAGTGAGGTAGTGAGTGAGTGAGTGAAAGGAGAGTGGGTCGCGTCGTATTTCATCATACCACAGAACATCCAGTTTGCCAGCTTCTTTACTTAGTGATGAGTTTTTTCCTGTTAAACGTACCAACCGTAACTCGCATGCTGGTGTATCACCCTGGCGCAGCACACCTTAGGTTTTTAACAAATGTGGGTGAATGAGTGAGTGAGTGAGTGAGTGAGTGAGTGAGTGAGTGAGTGAGAGTGGGTGGGTGGGTGAATCCAGGGATGTGAATCCCTGGGTGGGTGGTCGAGTGAGAAAAAGGTGTGTGGGTTTATAATCAAATTACAGAACATCAAGTTTGCCAGCTTCTTCACTTTGTGAAGAGGTTTTTTTGGTTCAACTTTCCCACCCTAACTCGCATAATGGTGTGATGTTTAATACATGGTTCTCCCTACACTAGCTCCAGTATGTATCGTAATTAGTAGAAAATAGTATTAGGTGAGGCGCGTGTTGTGATTATGAAGCCATGGTCCACGTGACATGTTGTCTTCGTCTTGACCAGAATATACACCTTGCAGTCTTCCTTATTCTGTTGTTATGCTTAACATCCTGCAAGGCTCTGGTAAAACCGAATGGTTAAAGCGTTTGTTCTCAACGTCGAATACCCGGGTTCGATACCCAATATGGCTACAATGTGTGGAGTCCATATATGGCGTCCTCCGTCGCGATAAAATTGGTGGCATTCAGTCAAATTAACTCGCTAACTTTGATTTTCACATCGACGTTGTTGATAATGTGGTTTTTGCAATGGCTTCACGCGCATTATATTTTAAAACATAGCATAATGATTACTAGAAAATAATTCCATGATATCATGTTGTAAAGGAAGCCATCGAGCGATACCCAAAGACTGGACGACCGAAAGTAACACGTGACGTTGTGTACATGACATGGGTTTTCTAATTGCCACTGGGGAAACACGTGAAGATAAATCTTTACATATACATATTACGAAGATGCCAGCCTCATTGTGGAATTGAGCCGCACTTTGGATGACCGTTCCATGTGTACCTTTATCTCAACACAAATGAACCAATCCTTTCTCTGGTGGACCCCGTTTGTAATTACCACCTCTACAGGGCAAACCATGTCGTTGTTGAAGCCCAGAGTCCTTACAAACACGGAATCAATATCCCCTCCTTGCCCCCTTCCCGTCCCCTCATTATCCTTATCATTAACAGTACCGATAGACATATGCTGCGGCATTATCACTCCTTATCTTCTTTCCTGGAGATCAACTGGCTTCGTACCGCGTTGTCTCCCTTTGTCGTTCTTTGTTCGATCGCACGGTAATAAAACGGCAACGTCAGTCGCAGAAATCACAGAGTGGCGAGTTGGGAGGACCATGATGGATGGCCGACCCTCTCCCAGAACCCTGATTGGAAAATCAATGAAGCATAATTGGAGAGTCATTAGGAAAGAGGCTATGGATCAGAACGAGGCTCTCAGGGGGAGAAATCCTTTTATGTTCACTCGTTGGCTACAAAGCACCAAATATTTGGGTTCCTGAGTAAAGCGAGTATTAATACCAGTGCTTGTATTGGAAGTTCCTCGGGGTAGAAGACATACGTGGTTATGT